CTGGGTATGTCTTTACTTTTGGTGGAGGGCCTATTTGTTGGAGGTCGAATACTCAGCCTATAGTTGCTCTATCTACAACTGAAGCTGAGTATATTGCTTTGGCTGAAGCGACAAAGGAAGCAGTGTGGCTTGCTGGATTGGTTAGAGAGTTGGGTATTCAGCAAGGTGGAGTTTTAGTACATTGTGACAGTCAGAGTGCCATTCATTTGGCTAAGAATCAGATATATCATGCTAGGACGAAGCATATTGATGTGAGGTTCCACAAGATTAGGGAATGGATTGCATCTGATGATATTCAGTTGGAGAAAGTTCATACTGAAGAGAATGCTGCTGATATGTTGACTAAGACTGTTACTTCTGACAAATTCAAGCATTGCTTGGATTTGTTGAATGTGTCTGCATGCTAGAGTTGCATGGTATCCCGGCCTGCTTGGTGTGTCTCGCAGAGATGCTCGCTATTGTGTTCTCCTAAGGAGGTGATATATTCGCCAAGGTGGAGATTTGTTGGTATGACTCATATATTGACAAAGGAAGAGGGCAGGCTGATGCCTGCGAGCGTAACGGAGCGAACGTAGCGAGGGAAGCAGAGCGACCGGGCGAAGTGAGCGGAGTGGAGCGAGGCCCCCGCGGTACGTTACAGGGTATTTAAGTAAATTTATACCTTATAGGGTTTTAGTATAAATAGATGGTGTATTGATGTATTTGATACGATTGAAAATAATAAAAGATCCCTCAGCCGCCGTGGACGTAGGCACATTGCTGAACCACGTAAATCTTGTGTTGTTTACTTTTCTCGTTTTTTAATTCGTGTGCCATATTATCATCTTCTTTCAACATATTTATATATCTACACGTATACAACTTAGCTAATCATGTCAGAGGTAATCCAATTTTCAAGGCGGTTTTATGGTGATGTTGATATAGAAAGAAAGAAAGAAAGAAAGAAAGAAATAAATGGTGTCTTCTCAAGGTTTTTGTAGGAAATGTGGGGCTCTGTGTTAGTGCAAATCCATTTTTTTTTTTATTTCTTGAATATTTAATGGGTTCAAGCGAGGGCACCATTTTCCATTAAATGCTCAGAAATTTGTTTCTTTAATGTAAATGGTGCAATTTCCCATAACATTTCTTCTTACGTATCTCAACACCCGCAAGACTTTGACTTTTGTCAATTTGTTGATGAGAAACTTGGTTGGTAGATGATAATAATATTTGCTGCTAGACATGGCCACGGGCCGAACCTGCTCGTGGCCCGACCCGCGAACTGGTACCGGTCCGGCGCGGCCCGGCCTGAACCGACATCTTAAGGACCGGTTCGTTGAACCGAGACCTGTAGAGCCACGGTTCGGTCCCAGTTCCTTATTTTTTTGTTGGACCCGTCGGTCAGGACCAGATCGGACAACGAGTCACCTTGTTAAAGTTTTTTTTTAAAAGGGTCGTACCGGCCTGTGAACAGCCGGGACGGTGAACCGGCGGTTCGGGCCGGTACTGTGAACCGACCCTTGGTTTTTAGGCGGACCGGTCGCGGGCCATGTGGTGGAGGGCCTGTGGCCCGGCGGGCCGAGCCGGGCCGGGAACCGGCACATGGCCACCTCTATTTGCTGCTATTAAAAGCCCATATTTAATTAGTGATTTACTGAATTTTTATTTAAAAAAATAGTTCGGTCAAACATTTTTTTCACATCCAAGAGTAACCTTAAAAAAAAAAAAAATAATAATAATAATAATAATAAATCTGTTACATTACATTCCATGGAGTAAAAAGGGGAAAGGAAATGTGAAATACATCAATCCCATCAATCATCGGTTAAGACAGAAAGAAAGAGTGATGGTTTGAGGCAAATGGCCATAAAATAATAATAATGTTTGTTGTTGGTAATGCTTGCTTATACACTTTCTTCTTATCACACACACACACACATTGCTTACTGGGATTCTCACTGTCTCCCGTGCTTCAAATTCATTCTAATCTGCTCTCAATTGGCGTTAATTTAATTTAATGCCTTCAAAAATTCAAGTCGGGTTTGGAACCGTTACTGAACCGTTACTGTCCCGTTACGGAATCATTCCGTCGAGGTTTGTAACCGTTAGACTTATCAACTGCTTTTCCAGATTCAAACAAATATCTACGTGCTTCCTTCCAACACATCCAATCGTAGTTCGACAAAACGAAATTCATTAATTTATAGCAGTTAATTATGCAAACATGATATGCACAATTGCTGCAAGCAGTTGATAACCATGAATATAGAACACAAATATCACCATTACTCACTGCAGCAAAAAAGTTTCAGTTTGGACAACAAATTTATTTGCTTGTCCTGACTAAGACTAACTCTTTGCCTAACCATAATAAATATTATAGTGAACCATGCATAAGAGGTCCCCCATGCAAATTGTGCAGATGAAGCTTTAATGAAGCATATGCACCTTTCAAATCTTACAGCTAAATATATTATCAAAGCAGCAGTTATATCAAGGGGAAAGAAAAGGATTATGATTACATGTCCTGTTTTGTGACAGCAAACAAAAATGGTCCCCAAGTAAAATCTTTAATACTGCACCTTAAAATGCTACGGTCCCGTTGCGATACCATACCGTCGGGTGTTCCGTTAAGAGAGATGATCCAACGGTTAAAACACCCGACGGGATGGTACCGTAACGGGACCGTAGCATTTCCCTCATCTTTTTATCTTGCTTATTCACAAATCACAATGTATTATTTTTCTCCGCATGGTTTCGGCACGAGCATTTCTAACGTAGCATATAATTGCCAGTTTTCATTTCTGATACAGGTCGAAATAAGAGAAATAATAATAAAGGGAATGCTCAATGACAAGGCGACGATATTTCAGTATTATGTCCCGTGGACGGGTCCATTTCATGTGTAAAGAACAGTGCTAAGTTCTAACAGATATTAAAATTAAAGTTCAGCCCAAAACATCCTAAATGTAGCCTAATAAATAAATAAATAAATAAATATCAAATGTATAATAGAGATGCAGATGAACTTCATGGCCCATCTAACACTAAACAAATAATTCTTTAGTTACACAATAATATAAATGCACCATAACTCTTCAGGTGAAGTATGAGAAGCAAGTTCAATGAAATGCATTCTAGCAGTTGGCCGCCCATAACCGTGATTGCCAAATACAAAAGAATAGTTTACGACAAACTGAACTACGTGGATGTCATTTGGGTATAGCCCGAAGAAAATTTCTCATGATCAATTGTTATCTAAGTGTGTGAATTTAATTTATATACAGCCTGCCTGCCTAAGGAAAAACTAATCTCATCAAGTTCCTTATGAGGGCCATACGCAAATTTTGTAAGTGTTTAGGCACATGCTCCAAAGGAAATGTGTAGCACACCATGATTTTCGACTCTTATCTGATGCCATAATATTGCTGAACAGAAGTGGCTGGATTTTGTATACCTGGACCTCTAAGCAAAGCCAAGACCACAGTCCAAAAACTACGAAGACCCATTTCAACCAGTTTGTTTCTTTTGCCTTTTGCAACTGAAGAGCTGGAGACGAGCATAACACGCAATTAGCAAATAATATTCAGGAATAGGGAAATATGTTAATCTACACAAAGCAAGTGATGGCTTCACCCAGAAGAATATAAAATTTAATCAATGAAGAAGTACTTCACTAAATAAAAATAATATAGATATTTCCTACAGAATTTAAAATGCCAATGGTCATGCTAGGTTTGTTATTACGACCAAATTCCTTTCACGAAAGCACATCCGAGTGCCACACCAGCCACCCACCCAATAATGTTGTATCCAACGCCTCTGTTTACAATGAATTACTTACTACATAACCCCCACACGAATTTATCTTATAATACCTCCATTTATGCATATTCTCCTTACTCAAAGACAACTAAAATGAACTAGAAGAATTATCTTTACCAAAATCGTTTTCTTAACCATGCTTTTGTTCCCAATTTTTTTGAACATCCAACTGCATTATACAACTAACTCAAGAAGATAAGAGGACAACCTACAGACACAGCGACACCCTAAAGAGGGTTAATTGAATTTCGGGAGCATAAAACACCAGATCGCCATGTTCCTTTCCCGCCAACAACCATCAATAAGAACCTCAGCCGAAAGAATTTTTTCTAGTGCACAATGACATTACGCTCAAACTAACATAGAACACAACATAAGTGCTTTTACTTACATCCTTAATATTGAGGCTCAAAAGAGAAAAAGATTCCTCTGGTTGTCAGTTGGGTTTTTCAGCCACCAACAGTACAAGCAAGCTGCTCCAACTACCGACACAAGTGAAAGTGTGGCCAGAAAGCCAAAATGTGAAATATCATTTCCGATTATGGCGACCCCAAGCATTAATGACTCGGCCAAACTAGCAATTGAAACCTCAGTGGTCCCTATAAGATTTGCTTTAGATGCAGGGATCCCTGTTTGTAGAATCTGTGCCCCTATAACATCATATGACATGTGTCCCAATCTAGACAAGACCTGTGGATGAGAAATATATTTAGATAGAAAACCGTTGGACAAAGAAGAGGCAACAGGGACAATCAAAGATAGTTTCGCGAACTAGTTCATCCTATAATGAATTTCCAATTTCATGAATTAAATAATTTTCTTTAACCAGAGAGGAAAATTGTATAGAGATCATAAAATGAGGAAATGATACTCAAAACTCACAATCAAAGACAAGAAGAGCACAAGTGGAATCTTCTTTGAGAAAGAACCGATCCAATACACAGTAACTGCCATAGTTAAAAGCGCAGCCTGAAAGATCAGGCCAGCTGCTCCAGCCTAGCACAAGGTATTCAATAACATTAAGGAATTGATTGACAACTTAATGGAACATTCCGTTTAATACAGGAAGCTAATATCGAATGAGATAGAACCTTAAGAATGCCAAGTCGCCCGACCATTTTTGTGGAAACAATTGTTGCTGCAACACCCATAAAAGCACATAATCCACTGAACGCCCCAATAATTGAAGGATTTAAACCTGAATCAAACTAATTAACTTTAGTAGAAAGACTTGGATTACCATTACAAAGGTAAACAGAACTTATCTCGAAAATAATCCACGCGGAAATAAATCAATACAGAGAAATCAGGAGAAGTCCGAGCATGTCTGTGTAGCTTGGCCCGCATGGCCACATTAAATTCTATTGAAGTAAATATGCATTGAACTATTCTCTGTCTTAAATCAATTATAGGAGAACTCCCAACAGCTTTTTAAGTCACACTATCTGATCCATTTTTTGGGAACCAGCAGCCTCTAGTTTTTCCTCAAAACTGAAACTTAAGATCATTTTTTAACAAAGAGGAGAATAATAAAAGACTAAAATAATTTACTGTGACAAACAAATAAGAAAGATGCCTCACTTACATATCTCATTTTACTGAATTTCAGAATATTCTTCCTCCTAACAATATAAGCACTGATTACACGTTATAAATTTAAGTTACAGCATTGCTAAGAGACACCCTAAAATCAGTGCCTCTATTTATTTAATTTTTCATATTCATTTTCAAGGCGTGTTGCTTTAATATGTACCAACATTTTTGCTGAAATTAGTCACACAAGTAAAAATGTCGAGAAAATACCATTATGTGTCAAAAACGCAGTCATTAAGCCGCCAGGTGCAAGAACCACATTGAAATAGAGAAGCACATAAGCAAGGCTTGCTGGTAGAACAGGCTGCTTAATGTATTCGAACCATCCATGCTTAATAGCTTCTATACTCGTGGCAACTATGCACAAACAGAAATGGTATAAGTGTGTACAGTTAGACGTTTTACACAAAGGAACCCATCGAATATAAGTTCAGTCTTTTTACATATATTTCTAGTATCTGGAATTGATCCTGCAGATGAATATCCACAACCAGTTTGTGGACATTTGGCACGTTCCAGTACTCCACCAGAAAGCTTATTTGTTAACCATGTAAGAATTACCTGGATCACACAACAAGACTATAAAAAGACTAGCATATTTCAAAATGGAGTACCCCAAAAACAGCAAGGCTAGATACTACCACAACAGGCAGTGACAACACCATCAAGCTAGAAGCCATCTTTAAGCAAGTCACTGGTTCATATTTGGACAAGAAAATTCCAAATAATGATGCTCCTGCAATCTGCATTAATCAACGACACGTGCATTTACAAGCATGACTCAAAACAAAAATAGGTATCACAATCTGCTTTAACATATATAGCTGTACGATCAAGAATAAAAGTGAAAAGTCGCACATAATATCACCTCACAGAGTAGATCGATTTGACTAAGTACCGCATTAGATTGGGCAAGAGCAATTGGTCTATCGATTCCTGCCAACTGAAATGAGACATGAGCAGTGTCCACATGATATTCAGACAAGGAAATGAAAGAGTTTAAAGGAATAAAGCAGTACCAGAACAACCCAATCACGCTCCATTGCAACTCCCAGAGCCAGTCCAGCAAGCTTTTCAACAGCCAGAGCTATCACAAGTACAACAAACCAAGGTTGGGCAAGAACAGAAGACGGGGATCCAGGCTGAACATTATGGGCATGAATAATCATCCCAACAGATAACAACTGAGCAGCCACCTGGAACAAACGAAGCATGAGAATATAACATCCGAACAAGAACTTTGCACCGAGTGCTATTGCATGTGAAAGGAAAATACCTGAATAACAGTCAAACAAGTAAATGCTGGTACTCTCGGAAAATGGTCCATAAGACCTCCTAACAAAGGGCCTCCAACAATTACAGCAAGCTGTTAAGATGGAGATGGTTCAATAATTAAGGATACTTGCTTCATATTCTGAACGCCTTGTACTCAGTTTATATGGGCAGATACCTTCACAAAAAATCCCATGACGGCCACAGGAAGAAGACTTGGGTGGATCAAAGCAATGGCAGCAGGCCAGGCGAAACTCCAAAGCTGTTCAACCAGATTCCCAGCCAAACAGCTAGCATACAACGCTATTTGTTCATGTAACTTTCATTAGAAGCTAAGCTAACAAACATGATGGAACTACTTCAAGAATGAAGCCAGTTAGAAGATAACTCAAATTTTCAAAGATTTTGGTGATAAATGTATTATGATCGATAACACATTCCCTTTTACCATAAAAAAGCCTAAATAAGATTGTAATGGTATCCATCACAGGCCTGTTTCTGCTGTGATAAAAACAATCCACAATGACAGAAATATGGAGGCATCTTAATTTGAAAAAAAATGAGATTACTCGATCAACCGACTGCCCTTAGCTACTTGACATGTTCATGTTCTACATTGTCTTACTGTCTACACAGATCAAATTAACACGAAATAAATAATGTAATCCAGTCTGAAGGTCCAACAATTGGAAGAGTTATCCAGAAAACATTAAACCTCAAGTTCAACTATAAAAAATAAATTCATACAGGAATTACAAAATTTTTTAGAGAATATATTACTTGGAGAAAGACAAAAGTAAATCCAGTTTCATGAGAATTGAATGATCTTATTTGAGAGTTATTATCTTAATTTTCTGTCGGAGTAAACTGACCATAAAGTGCAGCTGGATGAGCAGGGGATGAAGCAATGGCACTCTGATCCGCCTCTGAAAAGACCTATTTATACCCAAGGAAGACAACCAGTATCAAGATACTAAGGTCACCAGAAATTTCAAAGATAAAAAGGGTGCTCAATTGGTATGAGATACATGAAGAAACAAACTCACAGGTAGTACTGTCAAAATATTGTCTCCAAAATTGCCTTGAAGTAAACTAAATGCTTCTGTCTCCAGGCAATCAGATATGAGATGAACAACAGGAACTGGACAGTGTGAATCAAGAGATGTCATATCCTCATGGACTTCTTCATTAACGACAGAATTGCAGGCATCAGTATTAGTGAATGAACATCTCAGACTAAACTTGTGGAGCCTGCAATAAATAATAAACATAATGAACAATAAAGATGAAATCGACTACAAATAACTACAGAGGTATACTATCTCTGCTGTCCCAAGTTGGTACACTAAATCGACTACTAAAGGAGGCTAGACAAAGATAACTCAAACAATAATTTTCATTACAAGATTGCAACTTGCTGACATTAAACCACTTGCATTTCTAGAATTTCATGACAGGCATCTGGCATGATCACTAATTTGCAGATCTTGATTGTTCAAGGAACTAAGTAGGTGATTGCTATCAACTTAAACTGTAGTCGAGTAATTATATTCTTCTACTCAAACTTGCGCGACAAAAAGTGCAGTTCCTCTAACTTTGAGAAATCATATTTTACAAATGTGGTGGCTAATTAAAACTTCAGGAAACTTTATCTACTCGCTCGGTCCATCTCATGGAGAGATGAAAACAGTAATACGACATCTCTCAACCCAGCACCCCCTTAATTTGTCCCAATATGAGACCAACTGCAAATCCACATGTTGAACTGTCTACAAGCAGTAACAGTCGAGACTGAATATGCACTTTGCCCACAAACTAAAAGGTGCATCATTATATCAACTAACTTCATCAAACAAAAAAGGGCCTCTTTCATAGCCGATAATCACAAGCTAACCTGTTGGGCGGCTAGAGAAGAGGAGAAGCAGGGTTACCTGGACGGAGCAGAACGAGGATTCAGCCACAGTCGAGAGTGTAGTCTCTGTCTAATACAAGACGACGACGACGACGACTCAGCATGACATCGAAATCGGCGAGGGCCGAACGAATCGACGGAAGGCTGACCATGAGCGATGACAAGCACACCCATGGCCGCTGGTCTCCTCCTTCACCAAAAATTCTCCCGAAATTAAAATTCAGCTCGATTTCTTGTAGTTCTTCTTCTTCTTCTTCCTGATTCCTAAACATGCAGCTGATTGGTGAAAATCTCTCCAGCCAGTTTCAATTGTGTTTCGAGCAAATCGACGGGATAGAATCGGGAGCTTTGTTGAGTCGTGATTGCTCAGATTACTTCCTTTTCTGTGTGGATATTACTTCGCTGCGTGTGGGCGTCTGAGTCGTGATTGCTCAGATTAGGATCTGTCGTTTTTTTTTTTCCTTTTTTTTTTACGAAAACCCATTGGAGTTGCGGAAATCGATTTTGATTGAATTTATGTGCAAAAATTAAAATCGTTTTCATTAAATTTATTTGTTAAATTGGATTAATTTTAAATAAAATTGATTGAGTTGATGATTGAGTAAAATTTTGAACTTATGTCGGGTACGACATAAAGAGCGGTCTGATCGGATTAGGTCAACCGGTAAGTCG